GCAGAGCTGTGGGCCAGGCCCGCGCGCCGCCCGCGTCCCTGGAAAGCCGGCCCCCGCCCTCCCCGCCGGCGGGGACGCGGGCACCGTGGGGACCTGGTGCTGAAGGCGCCCCTGACCCCCTGAACCGTGGTGCCACAGCGCAGCGCGGCCTCGCTCAGGAGACATGCACGGCGTGAACCGTGTTGGTAAGACAATAACATGTCGTTTCCCGAACTCAGAGAGCCGCTGATTGTGGTAGGAGCTGAGCCAAGGAGCATGCCTGTGGGCCCTCGAGGAGGAGCTTGGAGTATTTCCTCAGCACCGACCCCTTCCAGAGAGAAATCCAGGCTATTTGACCTCACCGCTAGGTCACCTGGCCCTAGAGGAATTCGGTTCCCCGAGTGTGCCTCTGGGCCTTACAGGACCAGCCTGGGGGTGATTCTCAAAATGAGGTCTTCGGGGCCCTGGGGGGGCTCCTCTACCCTCTCGGGAGGTCAAAATGCTTACCATTCCACTGAGGACACATACCTGGCCTTTTCCCACTCTTATCTCCTGGGTACACAGTGACACTGCAGCAGGCCGGATCAGACGCAGATGTAAGGAGCCAGCATCTTCCGGGCGGCCTGGCATGAAAGTGAATCTCACACTTAGCGCACACTGGGCTGGGCGCAGCTGGGGTACAGCACGTGCTTGGCGGTTGGGAAGCCACGACGGGCTCTGTCGGGTCCCCCCCCAAAAAAACGGAAAATAAACCCACATCCTCTTCCTCAAGGATTTTTTTTTTTTTTTTTGGTCTTTTTGAGACAGGGTCTCGCTATGCAGTTCAGGCTGGCCTTGAGCTCACTTTGTACCCCAGGCTGGTCTCGAACTCACAAGGATCCTCCTGCTTTGGCCTCCTGAGTGCTGGGATTACAGGCATGCATCACCATGCCCGGCCTCAAGGACTTTTTTCAAAATATGGTCCAGTTTATTAAAACTTCGAATTTATGTTAACATGAAATTATTTTGAGGTGTTTTCACAGCCCTTACATTTCTGTTTTAATTTTGTTGTCGATTTTTTTTGTGTGGGGGACGCTGTGGTTGTTCGTTTGTTTCCTGTCTTCTGCTGAGGGTAAAACCTAGGCGTTCTGGGTGCTGGATAAGTGCTGTCAGTCAGTCAG